AACCTCATTCGGTCTTCCAAGTCCGGGAGCGATTGGTCCGTTAACGAGCTACTTGCATACCACATTAGCGTCAAGGCGATTCAGCCAGAGGTGTTTTTTGGCTCCGGGGCAAATCCGTCGCTAGTCGACTTGGACCCAAAGATTCTCACTGCCCCTGCTGGCGCTGAAGATCCAGATTTATCTGATTCTACCGCCCGATACCTCGGCTACCTCGATCTCGCAGCCAACGCTACGCAGGAAAGTCTCATCGTCGATTTCGCCAGAGAAACTCTTCATCTTCTCGGGTTTTCGGAGCGCAATCTCCTACTTTCTACTCGGTACATCATCCCCCTCACCATCTGCGGCGAGACCCAAAGAACGGCCCAGACGGACGTATGCCTTCTGCACCGTCGAACCCTCGTACTCCTCGTCTTGGTTGAGGATAAGTCTCTATCCAACCCCACCGACGCACAGTCGCAGGTCATTGCAGAAGCCATAGCCGCGTTTCAATTTAACAATAGCAAACGCGAAAGCTTGGGCTGCGAGCCTCTACCATCCATGACGATTCCCTGCATCACCATGTCCGGTACACGGCCGACCTTTTATCTGGTGCCCGTAACGCTCGAGTTGAGCAACGCTGTGACAACGGCCCAATACCCTTCTTCCGAGACCGTGGTTTCGAAGTGTGTCACCGTCATGACACACACCCGTCGGGCGAGCGATGGGATGAAGGACACTCAGTACCGTCAACTCGCGCTTCAACGCTTCCTAGCTTTCAAGACGTTGGCCAAGAGCCACTGGGAGGCGATTTTGAAGGATCTTCAGGTGAATCTACCGTTTAATGCGTCCGATTTGGCTGAATCGGGTCCTTGATCCCATGGAATTCCTGTGTCAACGGCGGCGAGAAGGGGTCTGGTGTCGCTCGCGATCACGAACATGTATTTGTCAGCTATCAATTTAAGAAAAGTCTATATGTAGTGATGCCACGAGGTGGAGGTGGCTCGAGCTGAATACCAGCTCGCCTCGGAGCCTTGGCTCGATGGATGCCTCAGAGCGGGGGCAAGTTTAGTACGCACACCAACACGCCATGCGGTTTCCAGTTCGCAATTTTCGGTTCGGTTCGTACAATACCGGAACCACGTTTCGGCTTGAAGCTCGGTACGCACACTATCAAGTCTGCAGACCGGGTGCTACCAGGCTCCCGTATCATTTTTTTGCTGATGCACGTACAAGAATCTGATGAGGGTCCAACACGGCAACACCGCGTTGGCCGGCAGGGGGGTCTTCGTGTGCGCTGGTTATAGAGGGAAATATGAGTGCCTGTGGGACTAGGATGGCAGGATGCAATTCCGCTCTCTCTGGCCCTTGAATGGTAAGCAGCACTATTTACACCGGACGAAAGACGACACGTATCTAATTCCGGAGGGTAAGCTGTGAATTCTTTACTACCCGTTACTGCCAATCCATTTTCCATCCATATCTAGGCGCCAATAGTATGCCAGGGTCAAGGGGAAAGCTCAAGCTATGCGTTTTCTACATTATTTGGTGTCATGCATGATTTGAAGAGGCCCCATATTTCACCCACGTAGCACGAGCGCAAGCCTATGTTCGGGCGCTCTGGGTGCTGAAGATTTCAAGATTCCTTCACAAGACGAGATGGTGGTTGTCGAGCAGTTGCTGACCAATACCGGCTTCCCACGCAAATGATCTTTTGATGTCATCAATCATCGCCTTTTCTTCACCTGCCACCACAAGAGCAACGACCGGGGGCCGCGAGTCATGTATGTCAGGAAGAATCTGCAGTGGACTCTCGTGCGTGGCGGAAGGGTAGTTCAAGGCTCAGCGAGGGTATCATGGTGCGTGCTACAACATGCAGATTGAAAATGTCTATCTCATTCAAAAATACCCAGTGAAAATGTGGGGCCTTCTCTCACCATGATGTTGAACTTTCGGACTATGCCAGCAAGTGTTGTGTCTCGCTTGACACCTTGTCTTCTCCCGGCGGTCAGAGCAGGACAAGTCAATTCTGGAGGTCAAAGCAGACGGCCAAAGCCGAGCGAGCCCAAGCGATGGTCAAGCCTGCATGCTTGGGCCTCCAGTTTCGTTGTTATTATCTTGGCCCAGACGCCAAAGCCGAGTCCAAGCGCTGGTCAAGCGCTCATGCTGGGTCCTCCAGAGATTTGTTACTTTAACTCGGGCATGAATACTTTGCCAGCCAACACCCTCACACCATGTCACACATACTATTTTCTGGCGCTTGCTCAACAAAAGCTAGGCAGAGCTTCGACCTCCCGACCGAAATCTGGTTCGAGATCTTCCAGAATCTACACAGCAGTACGCTACGCAGCGTGCACGCGGTATCGCCTCTCTTCCACGCCATTACCCATCCAATGTTCTTCCGGAACCTAACCTTGGATCCTAATCGACACCCCAAGGACGAAAGCGAGGAGCGCCTGGAGATGTACGCCTCGGATCCCATCGCCAAGCACGTCCGCAGCCTCTCCGTTTCGTTCAAGTTCGGCCGTTGGTCCAACCAGAGCGCTTTCGTTACCGCCCTGGACTCGCCTTGCCCGCTCGTCGCCCAGCTCCTCCTGTCGATCCCGCGATATAAGCATATCCGCCTTCTGGAATGTATCTTCCGCTTTGACTCGGAGGTACACTTCGCGCACTTGGGGCTGGAGACCCTTCCGCGCCTCGACGAGCTGCGCATGCACGCGGGTGCACTGTACTGCCCGACCTCGCTCCCGCCGCCAGCGAAAATTCGCGTCACGCACTTCGCCTACACCGCGATCCCCGGCATTGGCCTTACGCACCGGCACGCCACACGCCGCGGCTTCCTCTCCATGCTCGATCCCGATGCACTCTGCGCGCTGACGCTGTCGCCGAGCGATGACTCCTCGCCCGGCGCATGGCTTTCGTCCGATCGCGAGCTGTACCCTACCTTCCGCAACCTACGCTCCGTCAGCATCGGGTGCGACGGGCCCTTCCTGCGCCCGGTGCACGAGTTCCTCGCGGCGCTTCCCGCCCTCCGCTCGCTCAAGCTCCATGGGCGCTACCGCCGCATCACAGAGTTCGCGCCAGAGCCGGGCGTGGTGCTGCGGCGCGGCTTGCGCTCGTACACGGGCCCGTGCGAGTACATCCCGGTTTTCCTCCCGGGCACTGTGTGCAAACGCCTCACAGTGACGGGGTGCGTCGCGCCCGAGGAGTTACGTGCTGCGCTGGAGGACACACCGTGCACAGGCGCGGTTGTGCATCTTACGCTGTGTGTGTCGCTGGCGGAAGCGTGTGTGTGGGAGGCGCCTCACCTGCTTTTTGCGCTCTTCCCTCGCCTGGAGACTTTGCGGCTGGGAATCACGGACTCACCGTTCGACGAGGACGATATGGCGATGTTGGACTCAATGGAGACCTTGAACCCGACTGCTCTCTCGGTATGTGATGTCTGGTATTGTCAAGAAAATCAACTAATGTTCCTTTTACAGGATTTGACAAGGAATTTGAGCAAGGCGCTGCACGCTGCCGGCGCGCTGACGCAGGCGGTAATCGAGTGGGATTTGGCTTCCGAGACCACGAACATGCTTCCGATCAACCTGAGCGAGATGCGCGACGCACTGGTGGCCGACGCGCCGAAAGTGGAGAGTGTTGTGTTTGAGGGTGTGGTAAGGGTAGATCCCACGCTTCCGTTCTGCTCCTGATGGCCAAGGACGTGGCTCTGACGATCGTTTATGACACTGGGAGGTCTAGTTGGGTGATTATAGTACTACGTAGGCTCGGGTTTGCGGTGATGGCATGTATTCCTTGCAATAATCTGTATTATTCACCAGAGAAGTGCCTCTCGCGACTGCATCGGCAAGGCCCTCGATTCATGTTCAATTCAGTCGGCAGTGTCACAGCCTTTCCCGCCAATCTGTATCCACTTGATGGGGCTTGCAGCTTGCGTCTTACCACCATGTTCCTTGAGTCCCCGGCCCAATTCCAAAATGACCTGGCAATCTCAGGCGGATTCCAAGGTCTTCTTTTTATCGCGCATCCCAATCAATTACTAAACGCGCTTTTGCACGATGTAGGCTGCGTCGTCGACGGCGGCCAGAACGGAACCAACGTCACACTCGCAACATGCTGCACATCCGTGGGTAGCGCCCCCGTATCTGAGAATGGTAGCTACGGTTGCCCCTTCAACTCCGTATGGGGCGGGACGGCGGGCAATGTGTCCGATTTCATATCGTGCGCCACCAAGGCCGGGGCGACCAGCATCTGTTTGTCTCCGAATGAGAACGGCGGGCAGATTGTCTTCGCGCCTCGTGCGAGATGGAATGTCTTGATCTGTGTGCTGGTTGGAGGAGTTTTGGTCGGCGTGCTAACCGGGTGATTATGTTTTTGGTATGTTTGTTTCTTGCAAAATTTGAACGCTAACTAGATCCATTGCAGCTGGTCGTCCACACGAACTCGCTGCTTTGTAGCGGTGCATGAATGCTACTGCCCTTGATACTATGCCGCACCCGTCGGCTGGATATTCTGTCCCGACAACGACATGACAGTCCACATTTTATACATCCCGGCCATTTCCTCTTCAATCAAGAGCATCGCTTACCCAGTCTTATGGTGTTCCCTTTCTGTTCTATCAATTTGCCCGAAGTATCTCTGGCCCGCTTAAACGCGAGTTTCTTCTACGCAACACGCGATTAGCGGTGAGCGGCGCAGAGTCAGGTTGTTGCGCTGCAAAACCGAAGTCACGAAGGATGACACAACAACCGGCCTCAACTCCCGCATTAACAAACTAGCTTTCTAATCTCTTTTCAACGGCGACAGAGCACCTTCGGACCGTAAATTATTCAGGTGACTGGAGTTGGACGTTTCTGAGCCTCAAGCAATCTCAATCGTACACGCAGCCAATACCGGAAAAAGGATCTGGGGTCTCTGCATTCTTTCCGATGATCTGTGTGGCTCGCTGCAGTTTCGACTTCTTAATCTTGGTTTCGAGGTCAACCGAGACCGGCATGGGCACCAAACAGCATCACCCTACAGGTTGGATGGCCGAGCGGTCTAAGGCGCCAGACTAAGGATCAGCTTCCTCACAGGAGCACCACTTGCTAGCGCAATCTGGTCCGAAAGGGCGTGGGTTCGAATCCCACTCCAATCATGTTTTGCTTCCGCTCAGCAGCCTGCATCGCAGCTGAGCATCTAGTTTTTTGCCGCTGGATAACGCTTCTACTACCGCACGATGATTCGCCAAAATTTCCTTATCCGTCAAAAGCGGTTGTTTGCGCGTGTTTCGACGGAGTAATATTCGAATGTTGAGAAATAATGCATTGAAGTAGGATGATGCGGGATTTTCTTTGATATGGTGTCATGATTTGTGTTCAACAACAGGGTTGAATGTATTTTTTTCCCACTCCTATCGAGTCTTAGACGCCAGTCCTCTGCCTCCGAGCTGCGTGATTCAATTTCGTTCTGAGCAGGAGAGTCGAGACATATGATGTCCGCTTTGATTTGGACGCTCGGATCTTTTACTATTTCATGCAGTTTTGGATTCAGCAGTGAAACTGCGAGAGGTACTTGGTTAGCCGAGTGTTAAGCGGTCGCATTTTCTTGCCTGCCGTGCTTGGCTCGCAGCCTGAGTGAAAGAATATTGAAGCTGGGAAAGGATTCGGAGAGTTTCAGGCGGCTGCAGCTTAACCTATAATCTTGCAATAATCCGCATCATCTGCAGAATCCAGGTTCGGACGGCAGCAATGGAAGATTACACACTTATATTGAGCCCAAGATATTGCAGCGTGGTTTTGGATGTGCTTCACTACCTCAAGCCAGGTAATCTCTACGAACAGTCGGAGAGAAGGGCTTGAAAGCGACAATTTGATCCGCGTCCGGCAACAGCCGACCACGGTTGAAAATGAATTTCCCACGGTTGAATCTGATGTCAGTGGGATCCGTATGCAGCAAAGTATCCGTGTCCTCGCACGCTACCTTGCTCGTTCAAATTGCAAGGGATATGACTCGCGTCCAAAAAGCTGACCAGGTTCGTGTTCTTCCATATGAGTAGAGAGTTGCGACTTTTGCCAACCCCGGGCCACACCAGTTGATGCATTGGTCCTTTTCCCGATGAATAGTAAAGCCTGCACTGACATGTGTCCTACTGCGACACAGCATCCCGCGTTCGGTCAGCATCGATCTACTGGCGACGCTGTTAATGTGCGTGGCTTCTTGTCATCAGCTCATCTATTTCTCGTTTTTGCCATCTACACCTTGCTCATTTTCTCGCTTCTGCTTATCTTACAATACAGCATCGATCGCGGCCGAAACCGCTGCCTCCTCCCTCATCTCCCAATGTAAACACGCTGACAACCCGAATTCCGCGAGTGCGGGCGCTGTTCCAAGTCCTTATGCTAACACCGGGGAAACTGCAGAAATGATGGCCCGCAACGAGCGCTGAAATAGCACGCGTATTCAAGTTAGGCCTGGGTTTGGACACTCCTTCCAATGGTAGCATAGCTGAGGGCGAAAACGCGCCGGCAAACGCAGAAAATCAAGAAAAGCATGCGGATGGAGGGCAAAACTCTGAGGAGGGGACGTTCAATCGCTTCCTTGCGGATCTGCTGACCGAGTTGCCCCATGTGGTGGGTACCTCCGCGACTCCGAGTCCCAGAGGATCAGCCGCAACCAACTGGTGGTCCGTTGATCAACCGCTTCCCTGAGATTGTGGCCCGGGCCGCTGCACCGCCAAACAGTGAGCATGGCTCGGCCAAGATCCCGTCCACCGACGAGCTGGGCTCCTCTGAGAATACCCCATTGACCCCAGCGCAGACTTAGTGACAAACTGTCGTATCCGTCATTTCTGCGGGCGTACAAAGTGCTCCGCTTGGCGGGGCAATGCACAGTATTGTCTCCATATTTGCTCGAGGGGTCAATACACAGTTAGGAAGTCTGGCGGCAAAGGGGACGGATCGCGTCGGGGGCGACGCTTCACGGATGTTCTTGATCTATGTTATTGGAGGTCAGCCTTTCTCCTCCGTTGCTTGCAGGAATCCTTTCACAGCTTAGGGCGAAGAGCGGCTTGCTAACAGCCTCGGAGGTATCCCGAGAAAGAAGAAGACCCGCAAGGTTCTGTGGCGGGAGGTCCGCATGTGCGATATTTGTAGGTCTTCGGGGGGTTCAAGCAGAAGACGCTCGTTCGACCCGGGTCAGAGCCATGCGTTCACGAATTCTAAGAATGTTTTTGATGTCCTCCAACGTTTTTTTTTCCCGAGTGTTCCGCAAAATCCTCACCCGGCGAGCATTTGGTTCTTGTGATTTTGCTCAATTAGGCTCGGAATAATAAAGCGGTGAAATTTCTCGTCGAGCCCCATCGTCGCGGAGTCGCTCGCAGCCATTGAAAAGGACCAGCAGGACTCCGTCCGTGTCTACCTTCTCTTAAAGCAGCAGGCGCTCGCTCAAATCGAGTCGAAGCAATCTGAACGGAGGATAGTATTTCTTTTGACACGCATTTGTGCGGTGCTCTGCTGACGCACCTTGTTTTGTGATTACTCAGGGACATCTTCATCTTGCTTTATGTGAGATCGAAGATTAGTCGCGCCCACACCCCGAATTTTTGAGGTCTCAAAATTTACCAGCTGGTAGCGATGGGGTGAGGCACAGATTGCGAGATTGGCACCCAACGGCGGTGCAAGATATCACTCGGGCGTATCTTGGGCAAGGAGTGAGCCAGGAAGGCTCTGTGGCGGATGGTCCGCGTCTGTAACCCGTGCCGTCTGTCGTGAAAGTTAAGCAGAAGACGCTCGTTCGAATCGAGCCAGAGCCATAGCTCAGTCCTGACATTTTTTTCTGTCTTGTGGTCCTACTTGCTCGAGGTAAAACGGATTCAGGTACTTCCTTGTGATCCCATTTGTATTCACCGCATGTGCGATTGTGACGTCCCAAGATCTTCAAGCAGTCTAGTGACGGCGAGTAGGCCAGCAAGGCTCCGTGGCGGGTGGTCCGCGTCTGCAAATTTGAAGAGATGATGGTCGACATTGAAGCAGAAGCTGCTCGTTCGAATCGAGCCAGAGCCTTATGATATCGATGGTCCTCGATTGACTTTTTGTTGGTTCATACCCAGCCACCTGTCGGTTCAGTGTTTTCGGAGTCAAGGAATTGGAATTTCGGCGATGTGAGTATTTGCGGCCCATTGTAGTCTCATTGAATCTTGTCGCGGTTCCGGGAAGGTTCGAAAGGTGCGGGTAAGTTGCAGATTGTATGGTACTGAAAAAGGCTCGGTGATGGCCCTTCGTTAGATTGAAATTTGAATCATTCCAGCGATTTGAAGACCGGGAAATACTGAGCGCAGGGGGGTAAGGAGTGGCGTGCCATGCCTGAGAGGCTTCCGTTGAGGAACCAGAGAGAGAGAGAGGTGTTTTGTTTCAAAATAGAAAAAAGAGTCTGAGACAATCTTCTCGCGGCATGGCTCAGTCCCGAGTCGAACGAGCATACCGCATTGAAACGTCGTTGAAGATGCCATGGAATATGCACGCATTCCAGACGCTACTGAGCCTTTCTCACACAGGTGACTACATCGAGTGTGGGTGCTGCTTTCAAGTTGCCGAGAGAGTGCGGCTATTCGAGTCGCAGCGCAAGTCTCGAGGGCCATCCAGTTTTTTCTCTCCGCGGGATTGCCAGAGCAAATTCGTTGGGTAGTTGAGCAAGCGCATAGAGGTTCTTGTTGCAAAGAAAAAGAGTCTGCGATCGCTTATAGCTAATGGCTCAGACCCGAGTCGAACGGGCGGAATGCACTGGAAGACAGTACTGGTGACCTACGGAATGTGCATATGTCCCGGACGCTACTGAATCTTTTTGCTGTACTGGCGTCCCGGAGCACTATGGGTCTTGTTGAAACTTGAATTTGCAGATTGAGATTGAGGAGTCACAACGCGATTTTTTTTGAAGAATTTTCTCCGTATACGCTGCGTCCAGCTTCCATGCCAGTCGCAGGATTATACGAGATGTAGCGAGTTTGAAGCCAAGAGTGAGCGAGAGAGAGGAATCGAGCAGCGGGTGAAAGAAACCGAGATGAAAGTCCAGACCAAGCCGAAAACGCCAAGTCCATTTCTGTTCCTCACCGCCATGTCCTCCGGGCACCAAATCCACACCCCGCTCTACTCTGCAATGCGCACAGACTCGGCTACCCAACTACGCTCCCCCCTGAAGCACACCTCAAGCCCGCCACTGACCAGCCGCTCGCCCACCCCGGGCCAAATCGCCCCCGTCCTGCGCGCGGGCGCCGCCTCCCCCCCACCGCCCTCGCCCTCCACGCACCCCGCCATCCTCTCCCCCGTGGCGACGCCGGGCTACACGCCGAAAGTCTCGTTCGACACGTTCGAGAACCCCGCGGCGAGCGTGTTCTCGTTCACGCTGCAGACAGTGAAGAGCGCGGGGTACGCGCGGACGCGAAGCTTTTCCTGTTGAAGGACGACGACTTGAAGAGGCTTGCCACGATCGGCCGCTGCCTTTGCGCTGTACTGCCCGGACAGCGTGTACGCGCAGGAAGAACCGGCGTGGGATGAGCATTGGGATAAAGTGATGAAAAGGCGTATCGGAAACCTTCACAAGTGGGTTCTATCTCCTGCCTTTCCTCTCTCTCCCGTTGCTACCTCATGTCTATCGTGCCAGGTATGCTGGTGGCCTCCATCTACTCCCTCACATCTCAAATCCCAACACTTTGTCAGGGACTGCCCATCCTTGTTGTCGTCGTCGTGCGCACCGAGCAGCGCGGGTCCCGACTCATATGGTTCGGAGGTGCGTAGTGGTTTTCCATTTGTTTTGAGGCTGCTGCGCCTTCGCCGCTTGTTCCCTGCGAGCGCCCCTTTCCCTCCTCCACATTGACCCGAACACATCTTCCCGTCTGTTGCGGCCGTTGGTCGCGAGCGGCTCCGAGTCGCAATCGGTCTCATTTCCGCTCACAAGCATGGATGCTGACCGCTGAGTGAGGCGCGCTGGCACGGCCGTCCCGCTCTTCCCCCCCTCCTTCCTCGCCCAAATTCTTCTCCGTCCATCCCTGCTTCCTCGTGTTGCTCCGTGTTGCTCCCCATGCTGTCCCCCCTCATTATCCTACCTATCCGCCCTTACCTTCCTTTCCCCTTCCGCTCTCGTCTATCCGCCATTCTTCCACTCCTCTGTGCGCTCTCATTTTCGCACATACTCCAGGTTAGCCATTGTTTTACCGTTTTACCGCATCACAATTTACAATGTAACTTTCCCCTTACTGTTGCGGAATTCAACCGTGCCCTGCCGCGCCACTTGGGTTTTGTTTGTGGCCTCAAGTTCATTTGCCAAGTATGCGTCTCGCGTAATTATGAGGTGTACATCTGGGGGAAAAAACCCCGGGACGGATCTTGAGGGACAGTGCTTGGGAAATAAGGCTCTGTGGTGGAGGTTCGCATCTGTTACAACTTGATTACCCTCTCTGTGCCGTCCGACTGCAAGCAGAAGGTGCTCGTTCGACTCGAGCCAGAGCCATAGCACAGCGTCGAAGTAATGTGTGTTTTCTTTTGGCTCCTTCTGGGTAGACCTTAGTACGCACCTCTCTCAGATTCGATGGAGTTCAGAGCTGTGCCAGTGGACCCGCAAGTGATGGCTGCTGCGTCCCATTCACTCGTGATTCTTGAAGATTTCAAAGCCCCTATGTTGCGGATCAGAGGTTGGCTATGAAGGCTCTGTTGCGACTTCGCGCCGGTGTTGAATCCTGACGAGTCGGAAAAGTCGGGGAGTTTGGTTGCTTGTTCGATTTGAACCTGAGCTGTATGAGTGAATCAATTGGTTCTGTCCGATGTTGTTGGAGAAAGCGGGCATCAAAGCTTTTGAGTTCATACGTCTGAAACAAGTGAATTGGAGCCGATGCGCACAGAAATGAGCGAGCGCAAGGGAAGTGTGTACATTTCTCACCCACGAGGGCAGGGGAAGGAGAGCGGTGAAAAATGAATCATCTCTCGACGATATGGTTCACGCCCGAGTCGAACAGGCGAACTGCACCGAAGGATTGACATTAAACAGAGCGTGCATGCGGTACTGAACCTGTCTAGTCTATCATTTTCGCTGAAATATGGGCTGAATTTGCTCAAAGAGTACCGCACCTGTGTTTTCTGCTCGCACTCCCGAACTCCGTGTAGCAGTCCATCGCAAGGAAACTCGTACTCTACAAGAGGCATGAGACTCAGCCACCGAGGCGCTGCAAATGAATTCCGGCAGGGCCGGTCTGAGCGGCGGATGGAGCTTCACCGAGGAGAAAGCCTCTGGCAAGTTGGAAGGTGGAGGCTTTATTTGGAGCAATCCTTTGGTCCCGGCAACAGCCGACTTGTGGTTCAACCTTAAATTGGGATTTCCCACGGTTGAATTTGCCGTTCGGATACACAACGACTGTAAAATCGAGCACAGACTTAATTTGTTTCGGTGCATACTTTGGTTTTAAGGCTGACCAGTAAGGCTCGGTAGCGGGTGGTCCGCGTCTGCTACTTCGTAAGGGAGAATGTCGTGTCAAGCAAAAGTCGCTCGTTCGAATCGAGCCCGAGCCATGCGCAAGCCGAGGTTGTTTTTTTTTTCTTTCGTTTCTTCAAAGAGTCCGATGGTGAAGATGTGTATGAACGCAATGGGTTCGTATCCAGGAATCGCTGGCGCGAATAACAAGGAGGCTCGGCACGGATATGCACTATGGTCTGGGACGGAGATCCTGTATTGCGAATCATCAACAAGTTGCGAAGGCTCGGTCCCGGGTGGTCAGCGTCTGCAACGTTTTCGAAAGGTATTATAGGGTATTATCTGGTCTGAGGCGGGAGCTGACTCGTCCGAATCGAGCCCGACGACTGGGACCGTTTTTTCCCTACTCCAGCGCATCACTGTTGAAAACTCAAAGCACATCTCCGAAACAACGTTTGGGCTTTTGTGCTTGTAATATCTTAGACTGCACTTGCCAGCGAGGACAAATTTCTTCCTTGCGAGGTTACGGAATGACAGATCTGTGTGAAGCCTAGTATGTATGGTGGGTTCGAAGGCAGTCAGTAAGGCTCGATGGCGGGTGGTCCGCATCTGCAACACCTGATAGGCATCCCATTACGTTCATCAGACGTCCGCTCGTTCGAATCGAGCCCGGGACATACGAAAGTCCTCTGTTGTTGCTTTCTTTTTCGGACGCACAGTCTAAAGTACCGGTGTCATTGCGTTATTCCAAGATCGGACTTGTTCAACTTGAATTCGACTTGCTCTGCAACGGTTAAAAGCTGAGTTGAACCCAAAGCATCCGCCGTACCTTTCTTCCTCCGCGCTCGGATTGACGGACAACTGTCTCAGGCCTATCGTGCGCTTGAAGGTGGTCAGCTCGGTGGCGGGTGGTCCGCATCTGCAACACTTGGTTACTTTTGGTGGTATGTCGTGTTAAGCAGCATTCCGCTCGAATCGAGCCCGAGCCCGAGCCATGCAAGTTGAGCGCTACCTTTTTTTCCTCCAGCGCGTCGATTGTGTTCAATGCGTTCAGTGTTGTAAAACGCAGAGGAAGGTCCCGAGGCGATGTGAGTTTCGTTTTCGAACGTGGTTGAATTGATATCTCCTGTGTCCACCTGGTCAACTTCCGCGCTGAAGTTACAGGGGTGTGTGAGGCATATCGTTTGTCCGAAGCTGGTTGAAGAGGCTCGGTGGCAGGTGGCCTGCATCTGGTACATTTAGATAGCGTCTCGGGAACGTTGATCAGAAGTCTACTCGTTCGAATCGCTATGGACGTCGAGAGGGATTGTTTCATTTTTTTGTTTCGCATTCGTGAAGTTGCCAACGGGAAAACTC